CGGAACAAGCTCACAGCGTGGCAATAGCGATAGAAGAAGACATACTGCTTGGAGATTCATCACTGTTGGAAGAAGCTGAGAGAGGGGCAATGCCGTCAGGAGAAGGCGTGCTGCTTGGAGATTCGTCACAGTCTCAGCTGCAAGAGATCAGTGTTAACCATGGTAAATACCATTCCTCGGTGATATGTTCTCCTTGTTATTTTCCTCCACATGCATGGTACAAAATCAAATTGATGTGCTAGTCTTCATACTTTGTTGGCGAAGTATCCACTGAAAACAGGAATTCAGTGAGAATCTGGAAACTTGCTTCCTGAGCCGTTAGATCAACAGCGAACGGGTCGAAGGTGGGAGTTCTAGCCAACGACTTAATTATACTTTACACGTAGACCCCTCTTATTCCGTAATTAGCCGGCGGATTATCTTCTCGACTCCCTATCTGCTAATCCAGCACCGTGTACACCAAGATGCCGCCGCCGCCGCTGCCGCCACCGGCGAACTATGCGCCTACTGGATAGAACGGCATCGTTGCACCCGCCCGACGGAAACTCAACGGCCTTGGTGCTGCCCCCGTCCGACGATCACTCTCGCCGTGGCGCTGCTCATGCAAGACGGCGACTCGACGGAACAGTAGCGCCGCCCCTGCGTGTCGTTGAATTGTCTGCACTCTGCGACCACGTCGATGGTCCCATGAGACGGTGTCTCGGCGGCCGCATCAGTATAAGTGAAAACAGTGAATGTGTCAGTATAGCCAGTTTTCATAGCCTACTTTGTTTAGTTGGTTTTTGATACACTTATACTGAACAAAAGCAGTGAGGCTTCCTATATAAGTTTGGTGCTCTGCTCCCTACTTTTTATTTTATTTTAATCGTTTTGATGCCTTAGGATGTCTTGCCTAAAAAAATACGGAAATGCTAAAAACAGGGTACATTTTCGAAGCTGTCACCTGCAACCACTCATTAGGGCAGGAAAAGTAAAAAGAAAAACGAAGTTCAGAGGTTATTTACAGGAATGTATCATTTTCTAAAAAAAATTACAAGAATATATGGGGGGAAATGGATTTGCATCTTGCAATAAGCATCAAGTGGGCAAATTGAAATCGTCTATTTTTTCTTCTGGCTATGAATGTGTCACTGTTTTTTTTTTTTTTTGAAAAGGGGGGACTCCCCGGCCTCTGGCTATGAATGTGTCACTGTAACGCGTGTTTTACACAAGAAACCGAGTCTGATCAAAATGATGTTTATTGTGGCCTTATGGATCTTGCAGAGAGTATGTTGGAAGAAGCTGACATCGTGGCAATATCTATTGGAGAAGAGGTTCTGCATGGAGATTCATCGCTGCCGAAAGAAGCTGACAGCAGAGCAATATATATTGGAGAAGAGGTGCTGCATGGAGATTCATCGCTGCTGAAAGAAGCTGACAGCAGAGCAATACCGTCAGGAGAAGGCATACTGCTTGGAGATTCGTTGCAGTCTCAGCAGCAAGAGATCAATGCTAACCGTGGTAAATACCATTCGTTGGTGATATGTTCTCATTTTCATTTTCCTCCACATGCATGATACAAAATCGAATCAATGTGCTAGTTTCCATACATTGTTTAGTCGGTTTCGGATACACTTATACTGAATGAAAGCAGCAAGGCTTCCTATATAAGCTGGTGTTGTGCCCCCTTCTTTTTATTTTACTTTAATCGTTGAGATGCCTCGGGCGTCTTGCCTAAAAAAATACAGAAATGCTAAAAAACAGGGTAGGTTTTCTATTTGCAGGTGCCATCTACAGGCCCTCATTGTTTCATTAGGATAGGAAAATATAAAAACGTGAATCTACATCTTACAATTAAACACCAAGTGGGCTAATTGATATTTTTTTTGTGTGTGGAAGCATCACTGTAATTGTGCATTTTACAGAAGAAACTAGAGTCCCTGACCAAACTGATGTTTGTTATGGCCTTATGGACCCTGCAGAGAATACGGCGGAAGAAGCTGACACCGTGGCAACACCGTTAGGACTTAGGAGAAGGCTTGGAGGTTCATCCCTGCTAGAAGAAGCTGACAGAGTGGCAATATCGATAGGAGAAAAAGTGCTGCTTGGAGACTCATCGCTGCCGGAAGAAGCTAACAGGATGGCAATACCGTCAGGGGAAGGCTTACAGCTTGTACATTCTCCGCAGCCTCAGCAGCAAGAGATCACTATTGACCATAGTCCACACATGTCGACTGATGAGTTGCTCAAGGTGATAAAAGGAGCCAATGGCATGCCGGTGCTGTTTGTCCCCTCCAGCAATGGCCGACTGGCAGCGGTAGCCGTGGATGGCCTTCAGAGTCTGGTACCTGCCAATCGCAGCAACGAAGAGTCTGCTGAAAAGAAGCACGAAGCTTTCTGTTACTGGTTGCTGCTCCTGATGTCACTGGTCGCCACCGTCACCTTCACCGCAGGGCTCACCCCACCCGGTGGTTTCTGGGCCGCCGCCGACAAATCCAACGGGTACGTCGCTGGTATGTCAGTTATGCGCAGCAAATCTTACAGGAGGTACTTGAACTTTTACTACAGCAACACGACCGCTTTCTTCACATCCTTGATGATCATTGGAATGCTCGCCAGAAACATAAATAACCTACAGCCGACTTACTTGAAGAGTAATATTTTCAAAGGCGTGGTAGTTACTTGTTTTATGAGCTTGGGGTGTAGCTATATCTCCGGAACGTGAGACGGATCACCTTTTCGACTGATTTACCCCATTACTGTGTTTCTACTCAACATTGTTTACATGGTCCTGCCTTGGCTTCAGAATTGGATCCAAAGCCGCAGTGGATCCAATGCAAGAAACCCTCAATAGGTTGGCTTGTTGCTACGAATAAATTAGTACAGTAAGGAAGATGATTTTACAGAAGAAACAAGAAGAGAAGTCCTTACAACAGCCTGCCTGCAAATTTATGCCGTAACAGGGGGAAACAATTGGCCTGTTTTCGATTTGTAAACGTGTGTGAGAACTTGTTTTGCTAATCAAGACTCCTATTTGTAAACGTCATGTTGTAATTTGATTCATGTCAAGAAGAGTCCATCATCTCTTTTTTGGGTTCAGATTGGCTGAATTTGCACAACAGTCACCTCATTTTGCCTCTGTGAACCGTCAGATAAAAAACAGACAGCCCAGATTTAGCTTCTAATCTGAACCGTTCGCCTCATTTTGCCTCTGTGAACCGTTTTCTCCTGTAAATATTTACTGTAGCGCCTAATCTGAACCGTTTGCCTCAAATCGGATGGCCCACAGAGAGCAATGTCAGTGATATTGTAGCTGAACTGATTTAGTTTCTCAACGTGAGCTAAATCCGGAGCGCTCGTCTTTGTCAGCTAGACCTCAGCATTGTTGGTGGTCGCACGATTATTACTAGCTATTGAGATATATACAAAGGAAAATGATAGAAGCAAGAATGCCATCGAAATTTCTGTACGTGTTGTTGTCTGATGTGAAGTGACATCTAAGGGCACCTCCAACAATCGCCTACAACCCAAGCGGCGCCGGTATTGAAGTGGCGCACCGGCAAAGAGTGCCGCCCACCTACCTCCATTAAACCAGCGTGTCCCAAGGAACCTACTCCGACGCCTCGAGCGCGACATGTTCGTTCCTGTGCCGTCCGACATTAAACACCTCACCGGTTGGTGCCTTGCATCCGTCCGCTATTTCAATGTGGCCAGGCGCCGGGCATGTAACACACGCCTCCTTGTACCCTGCCGCACCGCAGAAGCCGGCGTTGGCCGAAGGAGGTGCACAACCAACGACAGCTCCACCCGGACTGCCCGAAGGAGGTGGCCGCCGAGGCCGCCGAAACCACCCTCCATTTCGCTCTAGTTGCTTGCAGGAGTGGAACAACCAAAGCGGCAGAGGAGATGAAATGCGGCGGAGGGGATGGGGGTGCTAACCCTAAATGCCCTCCGGTATCTTTGATATAGCACCAGAGAGGGGATCTCAAGGGGCCTTGAAAAACATTTCCGGGCTAGACGGGTATGGGAGGCCTATTCAGCCCAAAAAAATGCCCAAGCCTACATATCAGGCTATTTCGGGTTAGAGACATTTGAGGGTGCTCTAACCGAGGCCTACGTGCACGCAGGCAAGGCCGTACCTTTGTAGCCTAGGCCCATGCATGTGCTGGTGGGCGAAAGCTACCTCTGAGCTCTGATAGCATCAGTTCTCAGGCATTGCTGGGCGAGAGGGGCGAGAGCTATGGGGCAAAATATGATGATGTTCTGAGAAACAGGCCTGGATTTCATCGTCATCATCATTTGCAAATTGCAACGCAACAACACACTAGTAAAATAACAGCATGAAAAACAGTAGGACCGAATTCCAGTAAAATAAGGTAATATTGACTAGAAAATATTTTAGCTTTAGAATGAAACTACGAGTGGCGGTGCTACAGGTTTTGTTTCTGTAAACGCCGGGGATGAAAGGAATGCACGCACGGTTGACCAAAACTGTTCATCAGTGTTAGTGCGAAACGCTCAACAAGTAGAGCGCAATCTACGACAAACGCGCGACTGCAAACGTCTGCCCGTCAACATCAGAGTGCAGTTCAAACACACAGCAGGTAAAAATAAGATGCACTTGGTTTTACCCAACAGTTTCAGGTAGCATATTTAGCACAACAGGAATACACCACATGAACTGCATGCAGGTACTAACATAAACAGAATCACGACGGCGAATCAGTAACAAGTTAATGCATGGATACATTTTAGCACAACCAGAGTACATCTCATGAACTGCATGCAGGTACTACTAACATAGCAGAATCACGACGGCAAATCCTTGACAGTTAACAATGCATGAATCATGAATGCAACAATAGACTACGTAGCACTCGTCTCTCAAGTTACACAGGAAAAACAAGCCTTACCAGCTACTCTACATTGTGCACACGAGCAAGATCAACTCCCCAACCCGAGTACCTAGAGACTTCTGCTGCTGAACACGTCCACTGTAGCCCAAACTCAGCACTTACCGTCTAAACGTGATCATTCGCCATCGCCATCGTCGCCATTTTCTCCCGGATCCTGTCCAGCTCCAGCATGAACTCGTCGCACTTGGCACCGTCGCCGCAGATCTCCCTCCCGATCCCAGCCGCCTTGCTCATCAGTGCCGCGTACCTCGCCGCATCCTCCTCGCGTTGCGCCGCCACCACCAACCGCCCCTCCTCACGCCGCTCCAGCTGCTCCTCCCTGAAACCGTCGGTCCACCGGGCCACGATGTATTTCTCCGGTATCTCGTCGATGCCAAACTGCGTGAAGAGCCTGAACACGTGGCAGCAGAGGATCCCGTCCCTGGCGAACTTGGCGCACTGGCACGTGTACGTGTCGGTGAGGCCGGGCTCGATTGACACCTCGAAGGAGTCCCGGTCGTACTCCGGGTTCTCGTAGCTGTAGGCCTTGTCCAGCCTGTACAGGGTGCCTCTTTCTATCTCCTGCACTTTGAATGCTGTGGAGTGGAGGAGCTCCTTCTGGACTTTCAGGAAGATCTGCCTTGTGTAGACACGTGATGCGTGCCTTTCTATTGGCTGCAGTGAGAAGCATGAAGGCTCGGTCGCCGCTTCCAGTACATCTTCCTCGTCCGTTTTCTTGATCTTATCCTGCATCTCCTCGTACTTTTCAATCAGATTCTCTATCTTGTCCTTAGGAAGCACATTCTCTTTGAACAGTGAGAATGCCCCCTGCCTGCCTCTGGCTGAAACGACAAAAGGGAAGAAATCCTGCATGAAATAAACAGGAGCCCAGGTCTTCCTCATCTCCCACAGCAACTGTAGGTACTCGTTTTCACTTGCATCATGTCTCTGAATGAGTGCACTCCATCCTTGTTCGAACTCCGTCTCTGTCAGTGAACTGTCAACTAAGATGTCCAGCTCTGCTTTCATGTTGCCTCTTGCTGCCACAAAGGCCGCCATCTTTTCCTGGGCTTTCCCATTCCATCTGCAGAACCTGTGCCTTGCTTGTGGGATGACCTCAGCTATTGCCTTCGCCATGGCTTCGTCCTGGCTTGTTATAACTGATCTTGGTATTTGACCTCCTCCCATCTCCTGCAGAAACGTTTCGAGCATCCATTTGTAGGTTTCAGCTTTTCGATCTTGCAGCAAGGCACACCCTAACACGATTGTTCTCCCACGGCTATTCATCCCAGTGATAGGAACGAAAGGCATGTTGTGTCTATTTGTGCTGAAGGTGGTGTCAAACGATACGAAATCACCAAAGATTTCATAATCCATCCTTGACCTTGCATCAGTCCAGAAAATGCTCCTAAGCGTGCCATCTTCATCCTTTTGCACGGTATAGAAAAAACATGGGTCCTGGAGCTGCAGTTGCTCGAAGTGGTTCAGTGTCTTTTCAACATCTAAGTTTGCTTTCCTCCATTGTTCGGCAGACTGCAAGATCAGTGCTTGTTTTTCCTTTGATGGCAATTCCCGAAAAAAGCCACTCATCCTTCTCAAAATCTTGAGAATTTCTCCGGGAGGCACCCTGCTTTGCTGAAGAACTCTTGAGAATGACCTCTCTTCAGGTGACATGTGTTTTTGGCTCGTTAAGAATCTTGTGAACGAACGGCTTGGAGATAACGGATGGTTATGCTCATTCTGAACTGCTGCGATCACCCACTCTCCCTTGATAAGCTTCACGATGATCTTTGCCTGGCAATTTGTCTTCTCTATGACATTCTTCTTCCTCTTCCTCTTCAGGTTCAGGTCCTCAACTAGCTTTACCTTGCGATTCCTGTTGCAGTCCAGCTGAAACCTCTGTCTCTTGTAGTTTCTTCCCCTGACCACCACGAAACCAGTCTGGAGAGCATATGTGTTGTAGTACTCGTGTGCATCTTCGAGGGTTGGGAATTTCATTCCAACTTGCGGTGCTTTAACAGTGCCCAGTGCCTCAGGGGCAGGATAGAAGAACTTCCCTTCATCCTTTTCTGACTCACTCCCAGAGCTGCTGTCTGAATCACTTTGACTGCCTGTATCGTCGCTAGATATGTCATCGATTTCCATAACATCATGTTCTTCAGCAGTCACCAGCTGCAGCGAACGGTCCACATAGCTGGCGTTTCTCTCCAGTTTAACAGACAATGCGATTGCCGCTTCTTCATCGTCATCCATGAGCTCTGCTGATCGTTCCTGCAGGCAAGCGCATAGTTTATATTATCCCCTGAGTATATTGAAATGTCCAAAATACCAGTACTTGCTATATTTTGTTTGGCTTCCATACCTCACGGTTGTGGCTGAGCAGTTGTATCCTTGGTCGTCTCACCGGTTGTTTGCCAGCATCCAGACGAGCTTGCTGTCATTTCATTCCAAGTTAACACCAGACATTAAGTAATTTCTAAGAAGGGAAGGCAAAGCAGTGACTCCAGGTACCTTAACGACGTTGCACGCAGGTGCTGGTGTCTTCTCGTATCCCTTACTACCCTGTGATACAGATATGTGTGAGACACAGTAATTCAATGTGTCTGCCTGTTTTCTTCTATGTTATCTACTGATAGATGCACAGATGAGGGGACAAAAGATGTGCTCAAGTACCTCTTCTCCATACACCTGCACTTTGCGCAGGATCGGCACATGGGAGCCATCATCCCCAGCCACAATGTATATCACTCTCTTGTTCGCGGAGCTCCCGGGGGTTTTCGCCGAACTGTTGTTGGTCGATTTCGCAACCTGCAACAGTTCCAAAGAGCACACTTTCACTCAAATCTACACACCACGCATAATGCCAAGTCTATCCTCAACAAAGGGCTCCAGTAATCTTACCACTCTGGAACTGGTCGGAGGAGCAGCAGCAGCTGCTGGCGCCTGCAGCGCGTGACCGCCTGCTGCCCGGGCCTGCAGCGCACTTGCCGTCTGAACAGCCGGCTGCGCCGGAGTTGCGGGATCTTCTTTCGCCTGAAACGAAGCGATTTGTCAGGCATAAACCCTGCGCGGCAGAACATGTATGGTGGGTTTTGGGAGGCATTACCGTGTAGGCAGCAAGATACTCCTCCATCGCCGGTGCCCGCCGGTAGCAAGCGCGCTTCGGCGGAGGTGGAGTGTGAGTCTAGATCCGGATTCGAATGGGCGGAGGTGAGGGGGGCGAGGGGTTTGGGCCTGGATCCCGTGCGGGTGGTGGGGCGAGGGTGGGGAGGGGAGGTGACGGCTGGATCTGGACGGGGAGGGAGGATACGGTGGTGGTGGTGGTGGCGGCGGCGGCGGCCGCCGTTGCTGGAGTGACGGGGAGGAGGAGAGGTAGGTATCCTGCGCCGGCTGCGGGGAATAGGGCTATGGGAGAGAGGAGCGGAGTTTCCCTATTGGTCGCCTGTAGCAAAGGGTTGAGGCTGTGACGCGCCTGAGCGCGCGCGCATGGGCCGGCCCGACTTGGGTAGCTCAAGCCCACGAGCAGTTTTGTTTGCATTCTCTCATCGTCTTCGGGTCTTCTCTACCAGTTTTCACCATTTTTTCTGTCTTTTTTTATTTTTTTATGGTTTTACTTTGTCATTTATTTTTCTCTCATTTTCTAAATTATTCCTTAATTTCTTTTTACATTTTTCGTTTTATTTCTATTTTTCTTTCCTTTTTCCTTTTTTTAATTTCTATAAAACAAGATTAGAAGTTAGTGAATACTTAAAAACACGGACAATTGTTGAAAGTTCTCATAATATTTAAAATTTATGTACTATTTGGAATTAGACAACATATTCAACATTCATGAATGTTTAAAAAACTGGTGAACATTTTTTTTTCAATAATACAGTTTAGATCTTTCAAAAATCAGATAGCCTATTTTCTTTAACCAGACTAGCAAACCGAAATACATCCTAAAACACATCTATAAATTTTTAAGTTGTCACGACATAACTTTATTGGATATACATTGTCTTATTTTTTTGGAATAACATATAAACAATGCGCTGGAGAGCCCATTGGTGTTGAGCCTGGAATCCTGTGCGCTGGTGGGGCGAGGGTGGGGAGAGGAGGTGGCGGCTGGATCTGGCCGGGGAGAGAGGATACGACGGCGGCGGCGGTGGCCGCTATTGCTGGAGGGACAGGGAGGAGAAGAGGTAGGTATCCTGCGCCGGCTGCGGAGAATAGGGCTATGGGAGAGAGGATCGGAGTTTCCCTATTGGTCACCTGTAGCAAAGGGTTGACGCTATGACGCGCCTGAGCAAGCGCAAATGGGCCGACCCGACTCAGGTAACTCAAGGCCACGAACGATCGTCTCTACCGGTTTCACCATTTTGTTCCGACTTTTTTATTTTTTATAGTTTTATTTTATCATTTCATTTTATTCATTTTATAAATTGTCCCCTAATTTCGATTTACCTTTTCATTTATTTTAGTTTTTAGCTTTCCTTTTCATTTTTTAATTTCTAAAACATGAATATTTTTTACTATCTGCAATTTTTTAGAAATGATGATTATTTTAAAACCTATGATTTTTTTAGAAGTTTGTGAATACTTAAAACCATGGGACATTCTTAAAGTTCTCGTGAATATTTAAAATTTATGGATTTTTTGGAATTCACAAACATATTTAATATTCATGCATGTTTAAAAAATGGCGAACACATTTTTTCAATAATACAATTTTGATCTTTAAAAAATCTGATAGCCTATTTTCTTTAAACAGACTAGCAAACTGAAATACGTCCCAAAATACCTGTAAGTCTTTAAGCTGTCATGACATAAATTTATTGAATATACATTTTTTTATAAAATTGGAATAACATACAAACAATGCGCTAGAGAGCTGGTTGATGTTTTCTTGTCTTTGGTTTAGGAAAAATAGATAGTTTCCAAAAGTAAAAAAAACATCTCAAACAAATCAGAAATTGTTTTTCAATCAAAAGAGGGTGTGCGCCAAAAGACGAAGCTAGGAGGCCGACATTACCCACATACGCTACCCAATCGCCTTAGGGCTAGTGTGCGCCCCTGACTCATAAATACGCAAAAAGAACTTCCTTAGAATTATAGAGTAATTTTCCGCTGTGCTTTGGTAATTCGAGATGTTCTAATGTAGTGTGGGTAGGTACCACATGAAATCTGCATTGTGTTACTAGGGTCGTGTGGAGAAGGATGGTAGTCCAGTGTTGAGGTTGGAGTGGCGCATCCTTGTT